AGTGCCCCAGAACCATGGGGTCACTGACTTGCTGGCTCTTCAGGGTTTTAGGGGTTTGGGTTTTGCTAATTATGCACTTAATCTGCCATAAAAGGCTTGTTTGCCTTCAGCCCCTTCTTCCCTGAGCAAAGACTTAGAGCAGTCAGGATTTAGCTGTATTTCTACACTAATTTGCCATGGTGTTTGCTGCCCACATCCATCCCAAGCCAAAGCAGCACCCTGGAATTTCCCATAGCTTCTTGCTGCCCCCATTCTTTACCACCACATGCCCAGCATCCCTGCAGCAGCTATCCCTGCACAGTGACACCAACCATTCCCTGCTGGTGATCCCCTCTTTCCTTCTCCCTTCCCTCTTCCATACTGCTTTTCTTAAGTTTTAATTTGTCAGGGCATGTCCCTCCCCACTTTTCCCTGGGCTACACCAGCATGTTCTTTTCCCTGCTAGTGCCACTCCACCCCTTCCCACTGTCTCCTTCCTGCCATGCAATTGCATCAGTTTCATTCTGCTCGCCCATGCAGTACTCTCCTCTTCACCAAACCTAAAGTTACCAAACCATTCTGAATTCAAGCATCCTTGCAATTACCCATTAGAAGGAAAAGCATTCTTGTAGGTACTCAAGCTGGTCATCTGACAGAGCTCAGTAAAGTGCTTGCAGCACATCAGAATCCTCAACAGAAATGACACGCTGAGAACACTAAGCATTCTTGGTTCTTTCTCATCTTTCTTCTGCCAGGACAACACAAAACAAAAGGGTACCTGCTCTTTGACTTCTATGTTGTGTTCCCCTTCCAGAATGAGGGTCACTGCTTGCATGATTTGCTTCCCATGAGTGCTCATTATATGGTCTATGTGCTGCAAAAACAAAGATGAAGCAGTCAGTAACTCTCTAGACAAAGAAAGACATTGCTACTTGAATTATCACAGCCTGGCTCTGGTGAGCTCTCCCAAACCCCAAGAATTTATCACAGCAGGAACACTTCATGACATTCCTCCTCACGTGAACCTGGTCTTGTTTGAGAGAGGGCACAGGCCTTGGCTGTGGTTTCACTGTCACCTGAAGACACTGTTTTCCCAGCCTGAAGGCTGAATCCAGCTGCACCCAAGCTCTAAGTATGATGCTACAGCTACAGAGAACCACTTCTGATAGCAGGGGGTGTCAGAAAACTGATGGTTCTATCTGGTATTTGCTGCTCATGCAGGAACACTGTGACCAGTTCGATCCCAGTCTGAGAGGTACAGAGAAACAAGCCACACACATTGCTTACTGCCTAGAAAACCTTCCTCCGGTTCACAAGACCACAGACACTTCATCTGTCACTTCATGACAGAGTATAAACACCCAGACTAGAATAAAAATAACCATTAGGAGTAACAGGTAAAATTAACCTAGATCTATTGATTAACTGACACCAACCCTGAGGAGTGACAGCAAACAGGCACCAGAGGTGACCAGCACCACAATTCTTTATGACTTCAGGGATTCTCATAGGACTTCTTAAAACTGCTAATGCTGAGATTTCATTGTAAAGCTGCTGGATAAGTATTCTGGAGTGAGTTTTGGGTAGAGAGTGAGAACAGCTGGTTCTGGCTCCACCTGAAAGCAGGTGAAGCTGGCATGTGTTTCAGATGGAGAACACCTTGAGTGACCATGGACTCTGCTGCCAAGAGCTCAGAGTGAATTTAATGAATGACTGGTTATTAAATATCTTCTCACATGAAGACAGAGCCAATTTTCTGTGAAGCTGACTGAGACTCAATGAGTACAAACATCAGGAGACATTTTGCAGCGACATTTTGTGGCAGAAACACAACATGTGATAAATGCACAGAAGAGGCTCCGTGGGTTTTACCCCACAACAATGCTGGCTTGCCAAATGTTTGCTGCATGTTCTTCACAGGGGATTACCCCTTTCTTTTCCCCCCCCAATAAATTCATGGGCTTATGTTTGGAAACCACTGGATGTCAGGGTGCAAAATGAGCATGGACACTTTAAGTGCACAGTCCCACAGCCAGTGCTACATGGAGCTGGAGAACAGACCTATTTCAGGTGTCAAGTAAGAACACATAGAGGTGTTCTGAAGATATGGACCTGTCCACACACTGACTCAACAGTGCAACCCTCTGATCTGTTCTGGACGCTTATGTTTGGAAACCACTGGATGTCAGGGTGCAAAATGAGCATGGACACTTTAAGTGCACAGTCCCACAGCCAGTGCTACATGGAGCTGGAGAACAGACCTATTTCAGGTGTCAAGTAAGAACACATAGAGGTGTTCTGAAGATATGGACCTGTCCACACACTGACTCAACAGTGCAACCCTCTGATCTGTTCTGGACAAGTTTCACAGACTGTTAGGAAACTAATCTCACTGAAAACCAAATGCAATTGAATTGTGAAACGTGAATGTCTAGCTCTGTGTTTGGCAATAATTTCAATGTTCTGTGGGTCTAGAGAAGTCTTTCAAATGTTTCCTTACACTGATTTGTACATCTGCTTACAGGTAACAGATAAATCCACAGGCCTGTTTCAGCAATATTTTGAACATGAATCTTACACCAAAAAAATAACTTGTCTTACAGAAAGGTATTGTATTGGCTGCATGTTGATCAGCTTTCAGGCCCTTTGGCAGCTGTACTTACTGGGCGAGTGGAGAGAAGATTCCTGAGCAGCCCCAAGGTTTTCATCAGGACATTTACATCAGAGTCTGAAAGCAACTGGAACAACTGCTCTGTACTCAGACCTCGTAAGATGTCTGACTTGATCTTCTGTTCTGCTTGAAATGCCATGTTCTGAAAGAGACACACATGTTCCCGTGATGTTTCACCTCCTAAGGAGCAAAGCACAGCAGGAGCTCAGTGTGCTGCACTCACCATCAAAGCCCAAATGCCGTTCACTCGCAAGGCAAGATTCTCACTCTGCGTTAGGCTGCACAGCAGTTCTATGGCTCCTGACTCTAAAATAGGCTGAAGAGGGAGAAAAGAGAGCTTTAAAACACTATTCAGGATAATCAGGCATATACACAAATGTAAACATATGATAATATTTATTAGCAAGACTTTTCTTGTCTTACTCTTGAGTTTACAACAGCCCAGAGCACTCACGTGCACTGGGCACACCACACCCCATATTCCTGACCATTAAAAGGCAGGTTTTTATGGGAAAATTCCAGGAAGCTGCATTCCCTTGTATACTTGTACACATCTGTATACACAGCCGTGTGTGTGTTATGTTATATATGTCTATGTGTAACCTATGACACTACACACACATCTGCTACACACACAAATGGTTCTCCCAACAACTTCCAGCTAGGACTGCTCTCCAAAAACAGCCTTCCTAAAACAATCACAGCTTTTGGGGTAACACATGGGAGTGTTTAAAAAAGGTTAAGGACAATGAAAGCTGCTTGATACCTTGCTTGGTATTTAATCTTTGTCTTTAGTGATCAAACCAAATTAAAATCCAACAGCAAAACTTCAGCGTAAGAAAGAAAACTGGACACTGTTCTTGATGACCAGGTTAGAATACAAATCCTTGTAATATCATCTTTAAATGACAGGAAAAATATCAATACATGCACTTTGCTTCCCAAGTGGTTAATGGAATGAGAGTGAAGTTTGGCGCAGCTGCTTTCATCCCAAACTGAAGTGCTGGTTTCACTGGAGCCCTGAAGAGCATGTGTGCCAAACAGATCCACCCAATAACTTTGCTGCTCTGGTTTGTAAGTTGTTCTTTCCTTACATTAGTTACTGCTTCAAAAGCAGTAGCTGAATGTATGAAGATGCAGCTCCTGAACAGATCTGAGTTTGGTGAGGCTGTGTGGTTTCAACCCTTCAGAGCTGAAGGGATGGTGGCAGGGCTGTGCCCCCGAGGCAGAGGCTGTGCCTCGAGCAGCAGCTGGAGCAAGGTGTGGCCCAGGGCACCTGCTCCCAGGTGTTTGTGCCCTGCAGGCTCCTGCCAGTGAGCTCACCCCAGGCCTGGGGGGGGGTCCCCAGGACCGCTCACAGCCACAGCACTGGGACACACTCCCAAACGGATCCCGTGGCTCTCTCACAGGGCAGGACACAGAGCCACTTCAGCTCTGTGTCTCTGGCAGCTCACATGCAATTTTCAAAATACCATGTAGAAAAAAGGATGCTATGTAAAAAAGATCAGATGGCTTCCAGAGGCTTCCAAATCCAACATTCCTACATCTGCCTCTGTCTGGCATAAGCAGCACTTCCTTTTGGCAATGATGTGTTTGACACGAACCATTATCCCCACAGAAAATTCAGGATTTCAGCCCAATTGGAAGGGGAAACACTATGCTGTGGCAGCAGTCTGAGAGATAAAGCCCATGGGCCAGTGGACTGTGCTTGGCATTATTTCAGTGCATTTTCTGTCTCTCAGACATCACAGACACCACTCAGATCACTGAGGAACTCAAGACAACCTCCAAGGCCTGCAGGGCTCACACACAGCACAGCCCTGCAAACGTTTGCCGCAGGGCAAATATTCAAGACCAGGGAATTGTTTCATTGCTGTGCAGTGTGATGTGGGTGTGATCTCTGTGACACACAGACCCTGCAGAACTCAAGCCCAGACACCCTGCACTGTTCATCTGAGAACAGTTAACAGGCTGTGCCAACACTTTCAGGATTGCAGCAGCAGCAATTCCTTGAAACAAATGATCACATTGCAAATTGTCAGTTTGGTTTCTTCTTGTTTGTGATTTTTTTATGTAACAGTGTTTCACGAGCAAAAAAACTACAAAGTTTCATGTCTCCTCCTTTTCTTTAGAGACCACATTTCACCCTTCAACCATATTTAGCTGCCACAGCACTGCAAACATGACTATTTATCCACAAGCTCCCAGTGGCACAGGCTGCCTGGCACAGCTCTGAGACATCTCACAAGCAGTGGCTGCCAGGTGGGACACCTTAGTGTCTACTGAATCATTGCCTGAAGCAACTTTGGCCTGTGGCCTCTCCCTGTAGCTGGATAAATACTAACCTCCTTGCTTGGAGAGAATTCCAGAAGAAGATTGCATAGCGTGGAAGATGCTACTACAAGGATTTCATTTGGAGCATTCTGTAAAACCTGCAGTCACAAAGGGGAGAGAGAGAAATGCTGTTAGCTAGTAGGATAAGGAAGGGATCATTTCGAAATGGAATACCTGGAATTATGCAGCAGTTTGCTGTTCCACACTTCACAGGATGCTGTGATGCTAGCAGTGCAGATCAGGCAGTGACCCACATTACATGACAAGCTGGAGCAATGCAGTTACTTCACAGCAGTCAGATCTGAGACCTTTCAGGTCCAGTGTAATAGAAATCCATGGGGACACTCCCAGTGGGGAAAATCCCTGCTCCAGCAGGAGCCTCCTCAAGACTCCTGTACCTTGTGCAAAGCACAACAGAGCAGATTTCCTCAGGAGCATCCTTTCAGAAAAGCAAGTAGCCTGGAACAAGTAGCACTCCCTTCCCTGTGCCTGGATCTCCAGCAGCACCAACACCTGCTGTTCCCACAGAGATCCCCCTTGCTTGGCCTCCAGAAGGAAACAGGCAGGGGAGATCTGACTGCTCCTCCAGCAGCCAAAGGGCAGTGGAGAGGGTGTTCTGTCCCACTCTGATTCCCGTGGAGCAGGTGCAGACATGAGCGGTCCTGCACTGACAGCAGCTCACACTGACGCACATCTGTGCCAGTCCTAGAGCTGTAACCATTGCTGTTCCAGGGCTGACACAGTCATACATGCCAGGGCAGAGTGAAAGGGCTTGTTTGGTGCTTTGTTTGATGCTTTCATGTTTGGCCTTTCACAAACTCTTCAAATACTCAAGCCATTCCCTCCCAGTCTCTCCAGGTGATGGTAATGAGTTGTCAATCATGGAATTGCTCCGCTGTACTGACAGCACACAACCTTCATGATCTCCCTTGACCTCCCAACAAGCTAAACCAATTAGACATCCATGGATCAGCATGACAACTCCCACACCCAACCCAGGGATGAATGCCTAACTTGTAGTGAGTGTATTGTGTATACTGTCAGGACTACTGCTAGAAATAACTGAAGGATCTCCTGATCCTTGACTTTCTTCCAGGCTCCTGAGAGAAGCTTTAGGCAGCCAGCTCACAAAACTGCCTCCTCATCAGGCTCTTCAGTTCACTTTTGCCAACACCACCTGCTCTGGTCTGGCTATCTCACTGCTGAATAGAGAGGCAAGTCAGGCTCACTTCAGGAGGCTCTCATGGGTGTCAAGAGTGCCCAAGCTTTCAGGCCTGTTCCTAACAGACAGGGGCTGTTCCTCATTTTCAAGGTCTAAAAGATGCTGGAACTGAGAAACTGGTTTAATTATCTGCACTCAATGACAGTCACATCACAGGATGAGAGATGACATACACCTTACACACTTGGATCTCATCCCGTGGATAATTGCATTACATTAAGATGTGTCTTTTTAAATGTCATTTCTGAGCTCTTTGGCTTAAGTTATAGAATCTGCAATGAAATCTACGAGGTAAAGAACTACAGGAGAAAATGCACATCTAAATTCTCTTGTAGGGCTCACAGACCAAGCCTGAACTGTGCCACCTAGGCTGGGTCTGAAATGAAAGGACACCTAGTCCTTGTAGTGTCCCATGCAAACATCAGGATAACTTAGCTTCACTCGCTGACCACAAAAACGACCCTCAGGAAACAACAGTGAAAAAAAGAACACAAAACCCCAACAAAACATCAAGCACGAAGCACAGCTCTCTTGGCTGCTGCTGCTTGGCTTGTGTTCATGCACAGCTCTTTTAGGAGAAGGCCATGGAATTTTGATTCCTAGGCAATTCCTGCCACGACCCTCCAGCACGGCATGCAAACCAACACACCACGTGCTCCTCCAATGACACGGACACTTCAGGAGTGAGATAGGACTTTTCTTCACTTACCTTCATCAAAGGCTTCCATACAGCATGATCCTGAAAACTTGTCCTGAGCTGCTGTACAGAACGGGACAAACTGTGCAAACATCTGCAAGGGAAGAGAAACCTGTGAGACATGCACACTCCCATCACACTGCTGGACACACACTGCTCCTGCATGAGGACACAGCCTGCAATTCTGCAAGCAGCAGACTGGAAGGAGCAGAGAGGAAACACTGTACTAGCCTGAGATCACTGCCCCTCCCTCTCCCAGTAAATCTCCCAAGAGCAGAAATTACTTTGGATGAGCCTCTGAAAAGTGAGCAGGAACTCCAGCAGGTGCAGCATGGGACAGAAGCATCTGCATGACGAGAACAGGCTCCTACCTGACTGCAGCTAACCGCACCTTGATGCTCGACTCGGACAAGCCGTTAACGATGCGATCCATCATGTTCTCAGTCTCAATGATCTGCAGCCAAAGGGAACTCACGTCAGATCCGTAATGCAGGACAAGCATTTATGGGTTGTTGGCTTTCTGGCCGCAGCATTTTGACTATCACATATCAAAACTGTAGCCAAAACCAGCAAGGCACATTTTCTCCCCAGATTAAGTGGCAAGTTCTGTGTATCTACAGACAACAGAAAAAAAATATCTCTGCTCTCTGCTCCACTCCTGCTTTGACTGGAGGAACAGGCAGGTTAGATACACACGAGTCACCCTTAATGTCAATTAAAGCACAAGAGAACACGTGTGGTGGCACACAGAACACACAAGCTCCAGACCAGGGCCAGGCATGGAGCTGTGTGGATCAGGACTGCACAGCACTTCATCCCCACACTTGCACACAGCCAGCACAGGCACTGAGGCCTGGGGTAACAGGCAGTTAATACTCAGATGAAAGAAGGCTCTTGTGTGATAAATGACCTTTGCCATGGACACACCCTCAGCTTATCACACACAATGCTCTGACAGGGAAGAGAAGGATCCTCTCTGCTCACGAAGGCAACAAAAGACAAGTTTATGGGCTTGAATTCTGGAGATCCTGAATGATTCCTCACTATTAAACCTTCCTGCTGTTATCTTCTCATCCTATGTTTTCCTGCCTCCTTCCTGTCCATACCTTCCTTCCCTTTTTCCCCTTTAATCAGCAAATGACCTCAAAATTGTCCTGCCTCCTGTACTTGCCACGTTTGACACCAAAACTCCATGTTTAATTTAAAAAATGCTCCTTTTCATCATTCATTTATTAAGTTCCCTCCACTTCCCACACAAAAATTTTTAACTCTGAGTAATCCAACCAGCCAACCTGTTTCCTGCAATGTCTGAAGTGACTTTGTTCTCCCTCACACCCAACTGCTTTGCTATGACAGTGCAAGTTCCCTTGGTTACTTCAGACCTGGGAAACACATCCTGACTTTGTTTTCCAACATGATTGGATTTTCCAGAGTTTATTTATGAAACAAACCCACTTGGTTTATAACAGGATCCATGGCAAGAGAGGTGTGTTCTGCCCCTCAGCCCAGGTCTCACACTACTCACACACCACATTAACACTCCCTGTGAGTAGCTATGGGCCCTAATGCTGAAAGGAAACTTCTTGTGAGACTCTGAGTCATCACTGGGAAGATGTTTACATAAATAAGCTTTACTCCTATATTTTGATACAGTAATATGTTAATTTTTGTTCAAGTTCCAAGCAAAGAAAGAGCAATCTGAAAGTTAAATGGCAAGAGCCTTCTCATTCAAACCCACTTCCACCCCAGTGGGGAGCAAAGGTTGGACGGGTGCAAATCCTTGCCCAGCTCCGAGCTCCTCCTCTGCCTGCCCACTCACACATCTCTCAGACCCACCTTTTTTCGGATGTCCTCATCGTTGGCCCCCAGGGAGGCGTAGAGCTTGAAGGCAGCCTGGCGCAGCTCGTGGGCGTGCTTCAGGTCGTGGTCAAGCTGTGGGAAAGCACCGACACCAAGTCTGCACACTGAAAATCTGCAAGTCTGATACTCTCAGTTGTTATGTCCTGGGGTTGTGTGTGCCACCCCTGGGGGCAGCCAGAGGCACAGTGAACTGCTGCTCCATGAGCTGATGTCCACATCTACCAACTGCCTCCAACAACTAAAGCTAAGCCGATGGTGAATTTCTCTGCTGAGTCAACTTCAACTCGAGGCCAAGCCAAGGTTAGGACGCTATCCAGACCATACTCAAGCAAAAACTGTTCTCATCTCCTCAACAGAAACTTACAGGAACAAGCCAGAAGGAGTGAAAGACCACCACGGAAAGCTCTGTCTAAAGAACTAAAGCCAAAGCAGGAGCTCAAGCTGTTCTCTGCACCTGGAACTCCACGTTAAGGGGGATGCTAACATCTGATGGCCAGGGCACAGGGAACATAGCACAGTGCAAGGTGTCCAGGAGGTTTCTGAAAGGTTAGCACTTAACAGACTTGCCAGAGGGGTGAATTTGAGGGATGCACCACTGGCTAGGTTTGGGGTGATGGGAGCACTAGCTACAGGGATCATCCAATAATGGTGTTTGAGTTCTTGAGACGTGAGAAGGCACAGAGAAGGGCAGAGAGCCCTGGCTTCAGAAGAGCTGACCTAGAGCAGCAGATGGGGTGTTCCCTGGCTTGTTCAGCCAGAAGAAGTCTGAGTGAAGGCCTAAGAGTAGCCCTCTAATACCCACAGAGAGAACACACAGCTCTTCATGGAAGGGCACAGCAAAAGGAGAGACCATAGTCAACAGAGTCCACAGACACACTGTTTCAGTCTGGACAATGAAGGCTCCAGGAAAAGCAGTGAGTAAATGAGACTTGGAGACTATCTGCACCAGGAATCCAGTCCTGCTGGACCTCTGGTCACCTTTCTCTGAAGGAACTCAAGCATAAGGTCTGAACAGGACTACAGAAATACCCTGAGCTCATTTAATATTGTCTTTGCACATTTCCCAGAGCTCCAGAACTGGGTAAGGAGCACATACCCTCTTGATGTCAGTGATGGCACTGACTGAGCTGGGGTACTTGAAGTAGTCAGCGAGCATGACGATGAGGTGGTCGGTGATGCTGGCAATCCTCTGGAGCTCCACATCTGTTTCAATCAGGTAGGCCAGAGTTTCTGCCCCTTCCACTCGCTCCTCCAGCAGCCTCTCCTTACTGCACATTCGAACCAAGCATGGCAGAGTCTGAAAAGTTTAGAAAAACAAAACCAACCAAACAAAAAAAGCATCAATCAGATTTTTAGTGCAGCTACATTCATAGAGAAACTCAAAGAAAATCAAACAGCTGTCCTAGAGCAATGCTCAGCACTGCCCTTTGGATCAGAACCTTCAAACACACAGCTGAGTGGCTTTAAAGGCTCCACACATACATTGCTTAGGCATTGCTAAGTATATGGTAAGCCCATTCCAAACGACTTCTCATCAGCCAAAACCATGCAATGTTTAGAAGTGACCACGGATGAAGTTGTACAAGAGCTTAAAATAAAATCCCCTCAGGAGTTGATATTTGCACAGGTTTGTTCTTACAGAAGTGCCCAAGCTGCCCTCAGGAATTATTTGACCTCTCCTGTCCTTTTGAGATCCAGGATTAACTCAGGACAAGAGTCAGGAATAATCTCAGGGTTCCCTGGCCCACGCTGGCTGACCAGAGCAGGAGAGAAGGGAGCAACACTCCTAAACAGTACATTTGGTTGGCCAGAAATGAAGCCCACCTGAAATCCAGGTCCATTCTGCCTTGCCCTGACATACCTCCTACCTCAGTTACATTCAGGGCAATGCTGCTGTCACACCTTCTCCACTTTAAACACTGCAAACAACTGAGTCTTTCTTTAGCTGAAGGTCAGTGAAAAGCACTTAACTCTGCACAGACCAGCTCCCCAAGGGCTGGGACTCTGTTCACTCAACCCTCCCCAAAGACAAGTAGGGAAATGGATGAAGAATAACACCAAGGTCTTTGCTTGCGCAGCTCCATCAGCTTCAACAGAATTACTTCAGTAAATGTTTCTGAGTTAGGTTTTTGGGGACCTGAAATAACATTTATCCCCTGATTGTTCAAATGATGAATAGGTATCTCATCTCCACTGCACAGCTGAGGAACCAGTCACAGTACTTCCCTATGTTTGTTAAAACAGATGCTCCCTCAAGGATTATCACTGAGGTTGGGAATCTTGCACCTAATCCAGGGAGCCAAAGCTCATCCCCTCTGCATACCTGGCACTGAAGGCATCAAGGTAGGACTGTCCATAAGCTTTCAAAAAATGACATTGAGGTTGAGTGAGAAAGAAAAGAAATGGGATTTCATGTCTGAATCACAGTGTACTTCCTAATCCTTTCCAAGGTCAAATGGCCTGAAACAAGCGATTTCTTGGAATTTGAGGGCTGGATGCTGTTAAGTCCCTGGCTGCACACTCCCAAGAAACACAAATTTCATGTTTTTCAACACGTAGCAACTCCATCTGTTTAAAATTAAACCATTTCAAGAGTTCAAGGCACAGTTTAACTGTCCCACCAGCCCTGCAGGTCAGTACAACGTAACCAATGCACAGGAGTCAGAGGCTGTGTGGAGATGTAAGATGAAGAGCCACAAATCAGCCCTGGCCAGCATCTAAAAGTCTGGAAACAGACTGCAAGGATGGAAAACCTCATCCCCATGGCACCCCTGGGATGTGTCAGGGTTATCTGGACAGTCACTCTCATGATTAGGATTCCAGAGAAATGATTTCCCTCCCAGTCAAATCTGTCATTTCTCAGTCTCCTCTGCCTTCTCCCCACCCCAAGGGATTTTTTTTTTCCCCCATGTTACAGGCCAACCCACTACTCAAAGTGGGCAATAAACCAAAGCCATTTGGAAACACACCCCCACAGGCCTCCACACGCAGCGAGTTCCACAGTAAAGGGTCAGTAACTCCCAAATGCTGAAGGGGTCGTTGCTCTTAGTTCACTGGAGCTCAAACAGTTTGTGACTGGATTAATCACAGCCTGAGACAACGTAACCATGAGCTCCGGGAGGAGGCACCACTGGGGTTGCTGGAACAAGGCAAGGTTCTGTGCCATCCTCGTGTCCTCATTCTTTCATCTGTTCCCAAATGATACAACACATTTTAACCTACAATTGAAAACATTTATTTGTACTGAAGCAGCTTCCATAAGGGAAAAGAGATGCTGCTGTTGCTGTGAACTGCCAACCAAATCTGCCCATGATAGTCTGAAGGTTACCCACATGCAGCTCCACGTGGACAGTTTCCAGCCAGCTGCCAACAGCAGCACTGCCTGTGCCTTCCCCACAGGGCACAACAGCTCTGGAACACACGTCCCCACCAGGCATGGCCTGGGGCACGGCAGGCAGTGAGGGGTTTCTGAAGGGAAGATGTTTGCAAAAGAGGAATGAGGCCTGCAGGAAAGCCATGGGTTGGGAGTATGAAATTATAGCCCTCAGTTTGCAGTGTTGTAAGGAGAGAGAGCAGGGAATTGGAGTGGGAATATGGACCAAAGCTCAGGAGGAGCATGAGGGAGAAGGATGCAGCCTGGCTCCCTCAGCTGCCACAGGACCAGGTGTCTGTGCAGAACAGACACCAACACCCACACTGGAATGAGCTGTGTCTTGCCCTTTCTGGCACAACAAGTCAGGAGAGCCAGGCCTCTGTCTCAGTCTCCAGGTGGATTTTCAATCAGATTTCAATCACCTGGAGCAATGGATACCCAAATCCCCCTAACAAAAGGCATGGACACTGGAAGGAATGAATGTGCTTCCCTAGGGAGGTATCTTACATCCAACCTGCTCCTCCCCCAGCACCACCAAAGAGCAGGACTAAGGGGCAGCTCCTGGCACTCTGGAGAAGGCTTTTCAGTTTGAAACAAGCTCCCAGGAGCCATCAGGACTTCGCACCAGGCCACAGGCAGAAGAGACTCATCAGTAGCCTCTGATGCTATTTGCTATCAGACACTTATCAGCTGTCTGTTCCCAAGAAGATCTGAACACCATGGAGGGTGTCTGGGCCTTCCTAGCCACAGATGACAAACTCCTTTCAGAATTTCCTGGGTGTCAGACCAGACCCCACCAAATCCTGACGCTGCCTGTGGTGCTGCTCAGACCCATTCCAAGAGCACACGTGTTCTGCTCACCTCAGTACAGGGGCACAGATGGGGAAAGCTTTGTTTTTTCAGGCAGTCAAGCTGGATTTTCTTAAGTCTGCAGTGTGTGTTATTCTCTGGAGTGAAGGATGCTATAAACACCCCCAAAGCTTTGCTGCCTGCCAGACTCTACAGCAATTAGCAGAGAAATCAAACATGTTTCTTGCTGCAGCACTACACCAACGTGGCACTGGCTCAGAGGCACAAGCAGTGTTGGTATTACCTGATACACTTGCTCAACAGCAGCTTTATTTTCCCCTGGTTTTGACTGCCTGTGACTCCTACCAAAGAGCTTACATTGCTGTGGTGTTTTAATCAAGCTTCCTTTCCTGAATGGCCTTGCAAAGCCCCATGCAGTACAAAAACCAAACCCAGCACGAGTTTGGTTTCTAACAAATCTCCCTAGGCAAAGCATGAAGCAAATATACACAAAAACTGTGAAACCTGAGAAATCATCTGCTCACGACAGATTGTGTATGTAGAGACTGTGTAATGTTCTGACCACAGGCTATGAACTAAGTTACTCAAAGACAAACCAGCCCCTTTTTCATATTCAGAGACCAAGGCAGGAATGTTCTCTCCATGTTACTCACAAATGGTTACTGCAATGATTACAAACCTCAAATGAGTGTGTCAAACTCTAGGATATTTATTCCTGAGCATTGACCTTTTAGTATTAATCTTTCAAACTTAAAAAAAAATCCATGTCACTACAAATGCTTAAAGACACAAAGGGAAAGCAGAGAATTACTGTTCTAACTAACAGAAGTCAGAAGAACTTGGTGCTTTGAAATCTTTGTGTAACAGATTTTGTGCTACTTTTTGTATGAGAAAATAACAACAGGATAACTACATGAGAAAAACATTGTGAAGAGAAAACTGTTTAACCAGCTGCCATGGTTAGCACACAAAGCAGCAGTTTTCTGTTCAGGGATGGTTGAAGCAGGACAGCAGAGCTCACCTTAAGAACGATGCAAGAGTCGTCTGTCCGTATTGCTCCAGCTCTGCACATGGAAGTAAGGCTGCAACACAGCAAAACACACATTCACCTACCAGTGGCTTTGAGTAAGAGGCTGCAGAACAACAACCTGCACTAATTTAAGGTCCTCCCCTTTACTGTATCATTGACTTAAACACATTAATGCTTACCAGACTTGCACACAACCTGCTACAGGTGCTGTTTCAGGCAGATCACCTTGTTGGGCAGTGATCCATACATACAGCACACCCTGGGCACTGAAGGTCTAACCACTAGCCCTGACTGAGCCACAAACCTCTTTGGCCAACCAAACCACATAATGAACACTTCGCAGTAACGTGGAGGAGCAATACACACAGACCTGTCCTTTGCTGCACACAGCACAGGCAACCACTGAGACCACACAGAGAGAGGCAACAACCCCTCGGGCTCTGCACCAGCCCAGGAGATGTGGCACCCTGTGCTGCTCAACACTCTGCAGGGCTCAGCACTCCTCACTGACCATGAGCCCAATTAGGTAAACCACACTGAACCAAGGCAGCACTTGTTCTTCATTAGCCAACAACTCAGAGTGGCTATTACAACTCCAAGGTCTCAAACTTCACTGCGGACACAGTATCAGATAAACGTGAAGTTGCTTAGTTAATGTACTTGTAAATGTGTCCCGAGCTACCAGAGCTGCAAAGCAGTTCCCCCAGCAACAGAAGTGTCTTACCTTGAAGTGGTTTATAGTTTTGCCCTGCCCAGAGACAAGGCAGTGGAATGCAGCTGGAGGGGAACTGCTCTGCACTCCATGCAGGAGCAGCCAAGTACCTCTGGTTTTAGTGTCTGAACTAACCACTGTAACTGGCTTTTACTATGTCACAGTGGAGGCTAAAAATTACATCTGTATTTCAGTACAGGTGACTTGAAAATAACATGCTGTGACCCTCAACTTGGCCAGCTGAAATTGTACATAGGTCAATTGTAATTGCTTAGTTGAAGAGCAGCAATATGCTAACAAACCATAACCACGTCATGTGGTTAGGACCATGACTGGCCACAAAATACATGCTAATACATATGGCAGAACACATATTCCTCAGAAAACTCCAGTCCAGTAACATTTTTTGCTGTTTATGTACAACAAAGAGTGAAAGTTATGTCCTAAAATTAAGTGATAATCATTTCCAAGGATTTAGATAATGCAAATAACATCTATAATTATTCCTAAGCTTTTCTATCACATATGACTTTGCAAGAAGGGAACTGTTAAATACTAAATATTAAACTGCAGCCTAGCTCACTCCAGTTCCCCACGGCAATTACCATTTGGCTGACGTGAGCTGCATCTCGATGGGTTTGTCCCTCTGCAGCATCTTCACAAAAATCTGTGGTAACAATTCTCCATCCACTGACACTGCAAGAAATTGAAGAGAATTCCAGGTCACTCTAATTCAGTCAGCCAGAAAAGTGAGTTTCAAAGCAGCAGGAGCAGCACTGCACTCACCATTGACCAGAGTCATGGACACCTGGGGGTTCTCAAAGGCCAGAACAGAGAAGCACTTCAGTGCCTGCATTCGGACCTGTGCAAACACAGCACACGAGACAAACACTCACTCTGAGGCACAGCTGCTCTGTGCTGCTCTACAGGCTTGGACAAAAACAGTTCTGTGTAATCAACAAGAAATGCAGGGGATGAATCAAAGGCAGATAGAAACACCTAACCCACACCTCACCCCCTGGGACCTCCCTGTTGGCATCACCCTTTCATAGGGCATGTCGGGAACTATCTGTAAAGAAAACCACCCAGGAGAAAACTTGGCAACTAAGCAGTCAGAAGCACTGGCCTTACTCGTGATGCCTCACAGACATGCAGAGAACAACACCAGTTTATAGCTTCAGTTCATAGGCACAGACATGGTTTTTATAATCTTCACAGGAATTCACCTTTGGTAAAGAGATGTGAACTAGAAGAGTTAGAATGTCTTACTTTGTAGGAGGTGGAGACTAATAGATGTGCAATATGCTGAACAGCTCCGTGGTTAAACAAGATTGTCTGGTGGTCTGGGCCCTTCAAAGGAAAACACAACAAATTAATGGCTTTAAAAGAGCAGGTAAGAGGTTCCCACTATCTGCAGTACTTCAGTACCAGAGGTAAATGCACCAACATTTACTTCGCGATCAGCTGTGTAACAACGTGGGGTTTTTTAAACAAACAAGTCCAAGTCTTATTTTCACAGCATTTGTCCCTTTCTGGCAATCATTTCCACTCTTTTCTTCAAAGGGCAGGGAAATGACTTTCCACACATGGAGGAACATGGCTAGAGTACTTCTGCTCCTACTCTTTGTATCTGGAACAATGGGAAGCTCCTGATTTTCTCTACAAAACACAAAGATCCCCAGTCACTAAAATCATCTTCACTGGTGATATTTTCAACAAGTCTACCTTCAGAAGAGAGGGGATTACTTGTGAAATTGGTTCCAGACAAAGCTTGGAGAACACAGCCACGTTTTCCTCCAGTGTGTTATTGTTATTTTAGTGTCAAACGCATTCAGCCATAAATCCAGCCAACCTTCACCTGCCTACTGACTTCAGAATCTGATCTGACAATGGCTGATATAGCAATACAATTTCCAAAAGAGCCATTTGGTGTTAGGCACAAAGACTGAATTTTGCAGGAGAAAGGTCTCAACTTCTGTAGTGTGACAGGGCTGGATGGGGCTGAATACAGACCACACGAACTCTTGGTGGGGCCTGCAGCTCCCAGTGGTCTCTTGCCACAGCTCATCTGTGACTTGCATACCTCTCTCATCGTCACCTCTGCACTAAGCACCGGCTATGTACAATTTAAATCCAGCTTTGGGATGTCACAGCACTTATCACACCTCCAGATTCCTCGGCTAATCTGCAAGTGAACAGAGTCTCTTCCCTCCTTAATCCCTTGTTCAAACCCAGCTGAGTTTAGGGCACTTCTGTGCACCCTGGCAGGCATCAGTGACCCTTGATTTTCAGCTCTGAGATATAGCTGAAATCGGATTCCACTTACAGTCAAAAGAACATTTTGAGAGTATCTCTCACCTCTAAGAAAAGAGCAGAAAATTACTGTTAGATGCAACATATCTGGTGCTTTAAGAGACACTTCAGCTGCTACTGCCACCAAGAGCTCTTTAGCAAACAACACAATTAGAACAGCATGGCAGAGGGAGGAAAACCACTTACATTGGCACACACCAGTGGCTGAGGCAATGACTTAAAGCCGCAACTATGCCAGTGTTACAGCTGAAGAACAGATATTAAAGTTCAGCAGCAAAGCCTTCTGCTTGTCTCTCTTTGGAAACACAGAGTTCTACTCCAATCACAGGGAACCTGTTCTCCAAATGGGACTGAGTAACACATTTCAGGGATGGAAATCACACTTCTTGGAAAACATGACGATAGCACAGTGTAACAGTTCATTCACTAAGGAGCAGCAGGTGCCTCAGTGCAGGTGTACCCTGGAGCAGGGACCAGCACAGGCCGAAGGTGACACAGGAGAACACTCAGAAGGAGTTCAGGAGGAGCTGCCTGGATCACAGGATGTCCCCTGGACACTTCCCAGGCACAAGGGTTTAATTTTCAACTGGCAGTGAATCTATTCCTTATGCAGAGATGTCACCACTTTCAAAAACAAGTTTCAAGAATGTTTTTCTAAATTATTTGTGCTACTTGTGTTTCCAAGCACACACCTTCCCTTTTCCATTGCATCAGGAAAAGAGTAAACTTCACCTACTCACATCAGTTTTTTTCTCTGAAAACAGACTGAGCTAGAACCATGAGGAGTAGATTTGGACCTGCACATGAGCACACTCTGCACATTAGCCTGATGCCAGTTGATTTGCCTGTATGCTGATAGAATCCTGGCACTGTATGCAAACAGCTGCACCTGCTCCCCCTGCAAATCAACCCATCCCCTCACTCAGGACGGCTCTTCTCCAGGGTCAGGGATTTGCACCCCTTCACTGTAGCTCCAAAGTGCCAGCAGAAGTAAGCAGCAGAAGCAGAAACCACACATTAGGAACCCAAATGATGGATTTCCTAGCTCAGAGCTTTTCCAGGGAAGTTTGAGCAGGCAAGTAAGGCATGAGCCTGAGCAGCAAAGCACACGAGGTCCTGGCAAGGAAGGGAACAGAATGGATGCACCAGATGTGGAGCAAACACACATGCAGGAACAAGGACAGGAGCTAGGACATGTCACTATTAGTTTAATTAATGAATCTAGTGAGATGAAGAGAGAAATCAAAGCATCAATACCTTTGACAACCTATGCTGAGACTGCCTAAATACAAAGCTTATAGCAACTTCACTGCCTCAGGAAAGAATTGGGAAGGTTCTCTCACTTGGGGTCTCTTGGAGGAGGGTGGAGTCCCCATTAAAATGCAGTGAATGCTAAAACTTTCAGTATTTAATCCTTTTTTTAACCGTAAGAAAGTATTTTGCTCATTCATATAGCTAAAAAAATCCCCTGCACATTCTGCTTCACTCTGTCAGATGTGTTATGTCTGAAAATACCCCAAAACCAAACAAAAAAAGAAGAAGAAAAAAAGGGTATTTTGGATTTTTGCTGGACAGCTGCATTGCCTGGGCAAGAGAGAAATAAGTTCTTGATCAATCTAACATTTGCAATGATCTGTTTGCTCAACCTCAAATGTTTTTCTTTGTTATGCAGCTGTTTGCTCCTTAAGTGCAGCTGTTTCCCAGCACTCCCATCACCCTGCCCTTCTCCTGCAGTCATGTTTCTCTCTGTTCACACAAACAAATTCTCTCCAGAAACTTTATTTTTCCCAAACAATCACTGCAAAATCGTTTGAGAGAGATCTGGGAGAGTTCCTACAGACAGAATTCAGAGGACCCCCCCAAGTCTCCTCTGGTGAGTGACTTTGGGCACTTTGATGTTTGCACATAAATAACAGTCAAGGTAGAGGAAAAGAGATTTAACACAGCAATAGTTCAGAGTCCTACAGGAGTCACTAAGTGATAAAGTAGAGAGACTTTTTCCAAAGTAAATACATGCAAATTCATAAACTTTGGAACTTTCTCATTTGCAAGTTTAGGAGAGAGATAAATACAACCTGTGATCCTTTAGTTTTAAACTGCTCCTAAAAGGGAAAGATGCTGTAAAAATCTCATTTCCGACACTGAATTATGTTGGCACAGTGAACGTATAACCCACTGGTACAGTAACTACCTAAACCTGCAACAATACCACGAAAGTCAGTGGTGCGTGGACACCTGGGGCAGGGGAGGGAATGCCAAAGCTCTGTATTTGTGTGGAGTTTCAGTCAGCTTTCCCATACTGAGAGAACTGCATCACAGAGCA